ATATTTAGGCAGATAATATAAAAGTGAATGTACTCATTTTAGATAATATATTCAGAATGTGAATATGTTCAAGTCTGTTTCTCACTGCAGAGAAGGGGATGCATTTTAGAAATGTTTTGTATGCTATGGTCAGTTAAATTTCTATGTGCTGAATGTCTAATACATTAATTTCATTGTATGTTCTTTTTCATTGTCACAAAGTCATGTTTTGAACACATATTATGTTTTATGTAATTATTATATTATAAGTGCCACTGTTTGAAGTTAAGTTGTGGAACTAATGTCATGTCTCTCTCGTCTGTATAATGGTTAACCTTCTGGATTATGGTCAATATTTCAGAAAGTATGAAAGCTATTCACTTAGTATACATGCTAATTGTTATAAAAGGACAGCATTTCCAAAATGCAGATTTTGCAAAATTATGCACCCTTTTTAACTTAGTATTTTGCTTTGCTTGACCTTTCTGTTAAAGTCAACTTTTTCAGAAGTTATCAAAGTTATTCGCTTCAAACTTCTTCACTTTAAAACTATGTGACCATTTCAGAAGGGGTGACAATCCTAAAATGAATTTATTTTTACAAAGTCCTTTATTTACTCTTTTACAGCTCTTGTTTAACTTAGTATTTTGCTTTGCTTGACCTTTCTGTTAAAGTCAACTTTTTCAGAAGTTATCAAAGTTATTCGCTTCAAACTTGTTCACTTTAAAACTAAGTCATTAAGAAATTATCAAAGTTATTCAACTTAAACTTGTTCTCTTTAAAACTATAAGTGGCCATTTCAGAAGGGGTGACAATCCTAAAATCAATTTATTTTTACAAATTCCTTGTTTACATTTGTGAAAGTTCATGATTTGTTCAAATTCTTTAATTGGAATGCATTTTTAAAGGAAATATGATTTTTCTAATAATTATTATTAAACAAGAGACAAAATGCTCAAACAAAATGTTCATGTCATGACAAAATTAATAAATAACTTACTTCGTCTGAATTCAGATGTTTTAAAATAATGAAAAAAGAACTACAAGCATACTAAATTAATTATGCAGAATTTATTAAAGGGAAGTAAATGTGATAAGTAGTTGTTATGCAAAGTTACTTCAGTTGTTTCCCTTCTTTTGTCATTGAACGTTTGGTTTATTTTTTAGCTCACCTGAGCATATGCTCAGGATAAGCTATTAGGATCACTCTTCGTCCGTCGTCTAGTGTCAACCAAGTTTGTTCAAATAAAAGCCCTGGGGTCAAAATTGGCCCCGCCTGAGGGGGTCATTGATTTTCCCTATATGCATAAAGTAAAAACTTAAAAATCTTCTTTTAAAGATCCCAAAGAGCAAGAGCTAAGATATTTAGCATGAAACATCTTCTAATGAGTGTCTACCAAGTTTGTTCAAATAAAATCCCTGGGGTCAAAATTGACCCCGCCCCAGGGGGTCATTGATTTTCCCTATATGCATATAGTAAAAACTTAAAAAATCTTCTTTTAAAAGACTCAAAGAGCTTGAGCTAAGATATTTAACATGAAACAGGTTCTAATGGGTGTCTACCAAGTTCAAATAAAAGCCCTGGGGTCAAAATTGGCCCCACTCCAGGGGTCATTGATTTTCCTAAAGCAAAAACTCAAAAAATCTTCTTTGAAAAAACACAAATAGCTGGAGTTTAGATATTAAGCATGAAACATCTTCTAGTGAGTGTCTACTAAGTTTGTTCAAATAAAAGCCCTTGGGTCAAAATTGGCCCCGCCTCGGGTGTCATTGATTTTCCTGATATGTGTATAGCAAAAACTTGAAAATCTTCTTTGAAAAAACACAAATAGCTAGAGTTTAGATATTAAGCATGAAACATCTTCTGGTAAGTGTCTATAAAGTTTGTTCAAATAAAAGCCCTGGGGTCAAAACTGGCCCCGCCCCAGGGGTGTCATTGTTTTTAACTATATGTGTATAGTAAAAACTTAAAAAATCTTCTTTTAAAAAAAACCAATGAGCTAGAGCTTAGATGTTTAACATGAAACATCTTATGGGTTTCTACCAAGTTTGTTCAAATAAAAGCCCTTGGGTAAAATTGGCCCTTGGGGGGGGGGGGGGCAGGGGTCATTGTTTTTCATTATATGTGTGTAGTAAAAACTTAACATCATGAAACATCTTCTAATGGGTGTCTTCCAAGTTTAAGCCCTGGGGTTTAAACTGGCCCCACTCCAGGGGCCTACATACAGGTGATCCACCTAAGGGCCATCATGGCCCTCTTGTTTTATGAATTTAATTATGAAAGACAATGTGATAATGTTAGGTAAAGCTAAAGAAATTATTGAGCATCATTTATATTCAAATGCTTTAAAAGTAATTCCCTGTCACATTAGTCATTCTCAATTTTTGTTTCAGCTATGTTTTGATTATGTGATGATCACAAGTCATTTATGTATCATATGTTGTATTTGTACATTTGTTATATGGTGATCAGATCTTTATGCTTTGTTCTGTTTTGTTATTATTTTTGTTTGAAACAAATGAACATGTTAAAATATTTGTTTCTGAAATTAACGCTATATATATGAATATATATATATGTTTAATTTTACTATGATTATGATGAGAACCATTGAAATAAAAAATGCCATTGATAAAAGTTTGTGTTTGTTTTACTATTATGCATTCAAGTATGCACCCATGTGTTTTTACTATTATGTTTGATACACGCACTTAAGTACGAACGCATGTGCATCCGCACACATACACACGCACACACATCGATTTGAGGTTGTGCGATAGTTCAGTTGGTTAGACCAATGACTGTCACTCCTGAGGTTCCGGGTTCGATCCCATGTAACACCCTTGGGATTTTTCAGAGACACTTTCAGTGTTTTCCACCTACCTAGAGGTTAACTGGTATGAAACCCAGATAATCCTCACATGTATCAAGACCGCCTCCGTGGTCGAGGGGTTAGAGTCGATTACTTCTAATCCAGTTACCTCTCTGGCGTGGGTTCGATTCCCGGGAGATGCTTTGGTAGTTAAGCATGGAGGAAGGAAGCCTAGTACTGGTGTAACTCTCCAAGAACGATGGTTAGGAAACTACCCACCTATATGACTGAAATACTGTTGGGAAAAGGCATAAATTGAAACAAACAAACTCGTTTGGAAAAGGCGTAAAATAAAACAAACAAACTCGCATGTATCAGTGCTATACACTGGGCATGTAAAAGAACCGAGGGATCTATTCAATAAGAGCTAAGGACTTATCTCATAGCTGTATCTAGAGTCTGCTGAGTTAAGGACCCTACTGAAAATAAGTGCTTGCACTTTCGTAGGTTATCGTTGATCGCCCAGTCCAAAGAAAATTAATCAATCAATTTATTATTTATTGTTTGATTTTGTTTTTCTTTTCACAATTACAGGATACTAGTATCGGATTTTATAGTATTTCTGAAACATGCTTTTCTGCATAATTTACCTGTAATTTAACCAATTTTTTGACCGGAATATTAAAAGAATCAACTGTTTTAGCTCGTCTGAGCTGGCAGGATGAGCTTTTAGGATAATTGAATTTTGCTGGTTTGTCATCTGTTGTCCGTCCACTTTTAGTTCATTAACAATCTAATGTTTACATTTTTGTATTAACTTGGTCAAGATTTTTTTCCATGTTTCTCGCATGAAAAGCTATGTCACTGAGGCTACTGTTTTGGACATTCAGACAGTCATAAAGGTTGATCTTTAGTTCTAGTTCTTTATTTAACTAGGGAATGAATTTTATGAGGTTTTGTTCTTTATTTAACTAAGGAATGATATACATAATATGTAAGCTCAGACGGCGGACTGACTGAGGCCATTCCTATAATCCTCTTTCCGCTACGTGGAAGGGAATTAATAAACAAGAGCTGTCGGTAGGACAGCAACGCTCGACTATTCTTAGTGCTTGATAGTAAAAAAAATGCTTGATACAGTTACCTCCTCCTGTTTACAGGTTGGGGTCATGATGGTGAACAAGTGTGCAAAGTTTCAAAGCCATATGTCAATGGACTTTGAAAATATTTGAACTATTACAAAAACTTTAACGTAAATTCTAAGTCGAAAAAGGGGCATAATTCTGTCAAAATGCTTGATAGAGTTACCTCCTACTGTTTACAGATTGGGGTCATGATGTTGAACAAGTGTGCAAAGTTTCAAAGCCATATGTCAATGGACTTTGAAAATATTTGAACTATTACAAAAACTTTAACGTAAATTCTAAGTCGAAAAAGGGGCATAATTCTGTCAAAATGCTTGATAGAGTTACCTCCTCCTGTCTACAGGTTGGGGTCATGATGGTGAACAAGTGTGCAAAGTTTCAAAGCCATATGTCAATTGACTTTGAAAATATTTGAACTATTACAAAAACTTTAACGTAAATTCTAAGTCGAAAAAGGGGCATAATTCTGTCAAAATGCTTGATAGAGTTACCTCCTCCTGTCTACAGGTTGGGGTCATGATGGTGAACAAGTGTGCAAAGTTTCAAAGCCATATGTCAATGGACTTTGAAAATATTTAAACTATTACAAAAACTTTAACATAAGTGGTTACGCGGACGCCGACGCTCGGGTGACTGCAATAGCTCTACTTATTCTTATCGAATAGTCGAGCTAAAAAAATGAGCATAATGAGTAAATTTAAGTGCAACTGTCATAAGGATGCTACAGACCAAATAAGAAGTAAATCTGCCAGGTGGTTTCAGAGAAGAAGATGAATGTTGACGCATGACGACAGAGCATCCCCCTTTGATACTAATAGCTCACCCTGAACCTTCGGTTTTGGTGAGCTAAAAAAAGTCAACATAAAAATTTAATATGTTTTCTTTAATAAATACACAAAATTATGTGTACAGCTCTACCATTACTTTTAGTAGTCTGAATCTAGTTTAACTTTCAGACTAAAACCTATTTATGATTAGTATGTTCCTAGCGTACCTTAATGGTTCTGTACACATTATATAGCCAAAGCATTACATAGCAACGATATAGATTGAGAAGGAAAAATATTTACTCAATGTTTATTCACAAAATTTGATGCAAAACAATATGTTTCATACAATATCTAACACTTTATTCTTCAATTCTTCTTTAATTCAGGTTACTTAAAGTTTATTTGAAAATCCTCATATATCTATATTATGTCTAAAACTGTGAAGAGGAAATTATGTCAATAAACCACATTAAAAGTTCAAAAGCAATGCATTTAAATAATAAGTGGCTTTGTTTCATAATAATCCTGTACGACATATCTTAGTAACAAGTTATTTCCCTAATTCTCTAGCCTTCACCATCTCCTGACTTCCGTACATGTCTTCCCTTTCTTTAAACTGACCTTGTGTTGGTACATAATACCATCCTGTAAATGAAATAATGAACATTAAATGTATATTAAATATCAATTAATACACTTGGTTTCTATACAAAATGTATATTAAATATCAATTAATACACTTGGTTTCTATACAAAATGTATATTAAATATCAATTAATACACTTGGTTTCTATACAAAATGTATATTAAATATCAATTAATACACTTGGTTTCTATACAAAATGTATATTAAATATCAATTAATACACTTGGTTTCTATACAAAATGTATATTAAATATCAATTAATACACTTGGTTTCTATACAAAGTAACAAAGTTGAAAACAGTTTTAACTTATTACAAGTGTCACATGACCAATATTGAGTTTGTGGCCCGGGGCCTAAAAACTCATAATCATTATCGGCCCCCTGAACAACAGAATGTGCAAAAACTGACGCAATAACGTCACATATATTAATTATTAAGTCTAACATGCTTTACATCATTCTCGTACAAAACTGGTAGGACTGATGAGCTCGGCATAATAAAGGAATGCATACACGCAATTTGCCATCAAAAAACCAAATGAGACGTTGGAAAAAATACTTATATGCCAAATATCTTCAACATAATTTTCTCTTTTCTTTTATTAGCACGTTAGAATAGAAATAGATTCATTATTCATGCATTGCAGTATAATAATGCACAGTTTATGGTTAAAATTCTTTGTAACTAATCAGGAAGACCTATTGGCCTGTGGTTATATAACTGTAAATCAATATATGTACATAGTTCAAGTCCTGAAACATTCAAAGGTTAACCATGTAAACATAAACATTGAAAGTCAAGGTCATTTATGTCTCAAGATTAATGTAAGTCCCAACTTAGAGGTCCATAATCCAGGAGTTTTCAAGAATAATGACAATTCATCATAAATAACTTTCTTTCTTTTTTCTTTTTCTTTCTTTTGGGGGGGGGGGGTTTAACGTGACATTGACACAATATAGGTCATATCGCGACGTTCCAGCTTTACAGGTGGAGGAAGACCTCAGGTGCCCTTCCGTGCATTATTTCAGGCACGAACGGGCACCTGAATAGAACCATCGACGTTCCGTAAGCTAGCTGGATAGCTTCCCCATATAAAAGAATCCAAAGTCCCTGTCGGGATTCGAACCCACAGCGGTGAGGGGCAAGTGGTTTGACGTCAACAACCTTAACCACTCGGCCACGGAAATAACTAAGCAATAGGTACATTTCTGTGATATTTTTAAGTAAGGGAAGACGCACAATTATGTCAAACTTTCGGAGTCATGATACTTGACACACACACAGATGCAGTGTAATTTTGCATTGTTATGTCATGTTTGTCCAGATATTAAACACTTCTATATTTTTTTTTCTAAAAAGTTAAGGTAAAACTGAAGTGCATACTCTTTGTTTAATAAAGAGCCATAACAGTAGGCCTCATACTTTATTGTTACAGAATGAATTCTATTGTTCTTTTTTTGTTCTTTTCACAGTGAAATGGCTCCCTATCCCTATTCTGTCATGCGGAATGGCGGACGGTGGGAAAATTAGAAGGGAACTAACAACAGACAGTGTTAAATTGTGTAAATAAAATTAAAATCAGACAATGAAGATAGACAATTACCTTTATTTTCAGGTTTCTCTTTTTGAAGACATCTTACCTCCATTTGCAGTATACTGAATTATACAAAATATATGTATATAAACACATTTTCAATACAATTAAATCTATTTGAATATTCAGACAATATGAAAACAACCTGTCAAAAAGAAGAATACAAAGTTGATGGTTTGACTGTCCTTACTGAATGACTCTATCAAACCGACCATGAAATTTTCATGTAATTTTTTATAAATGCTTCCGAGGGATCACTGCTTTCCCGGACTTTACATATATCGTATAAATGCTTCCGAGGGATCACTGCTTTCCCTGACTTTACATATATTGTGGATCTTTAGCTGTAGAAAATTTAGTTCCTCTTTTTCCATCCATTGCTCAGGTCAACTGCTCACAAAAAAGTACATTTGTAAAGGCCCCTAGCTACAATACAAGGAACAAGTTATATTGTTAAAGATCCTGCATGTTTTGTGATTGATATTGTTACTGTATGTCTACCACACTTAAAAGAAATTATATATGCAAATGAAACAATTTTCAAACATCGAAGAAAGTGTTAAATATGTACAGAAAATATTTGTGCACATTATATGTAATCAATCAATTATATGCATTCATTTCTTATTGGAAAATTTGACTTAAAATTTTTAGAATATAAATTTCTAATTACCTCCCTTTATTTACATGAAATGTTAAATTTAGTATTATCTTTATTATTATTGGAACTTACAATATTGACAAATCTTATTTTGAGCATCATATTTATGAAATAAAACCATGAAAAAATTGTGTTACAGGATCTAAATCAAAGCAGAATAAAATCTAAATCTTAAACTTATATCACAAAGTTCATATTTGTGTATGAAATAGTGCACATGTAAAAACTTTACTCTGGTTGCTATTGCTGAGGGAAAACAACAGTTCCATAAGATGTCACTGTTTGCTATACAAAATATTGTATCAAAGCCAACATTGACTCTAGACACATGATTCACTTATCAAAGCCAATATTGACTCTAGACACATGATTCACTCATCAAAGCCAATATTGACTCTATACACATGATTCACTTATCAAAGCCAATATTGACTCTAGACACATGATTCACTCATCAAAGCCAATATTGACTCTAGACACATGATTCACTCATCAAAGCCAATATTGACTCTAGACACATGATTCACTCATCAAAGCCAATATTGACTCTAGACACATGATTCACTCATCAAAGCCAATATTGACTCTAGACACATGATTCACTTATCAAAGCCAATATTGACTCTAGACACATGATTCACTTATCAAAGCCAATATTGACTCTAGACACATGATTCACTCATCAAAGCCAATATTGACTCTAGACACATGATTCACTTATCAAAGCCAATATTGACTCTAGACACATGATTCACTATCAAAGCCAATATTGACTCGAGACACATGATTCACGTTTGTGATTTGATTTTCTATCACACCTAGACAGTAAAGGTCATATGGCGACCTCAGGTGACCCTCATGCATTATTTCAGGCACACAGCTGAGTAGAACCGACGATGTTTTAATTTCTAGCTGGAAAGCTTCCTCGCATTAAAATGACATCACATAAAACTCTTATTACACTAGGTGCTTTGGTTAAATGTGATGAATATATGTACACAACTTACGTAGATTTTCTTTTTTCATCTGCTTTATGAAGATAGTATAAAGTTCTTTCATGTTTCTTCTCAATAGGTTCAACTCCATATTTAGCCAGTAACCTTGTCAGTGGCAACTGGAAAAATAAATATATATCTTTACCTTTAACCTGTTCAACTGAAATGAACTTACCCTGCTTTGAACTTTTCATTTATACTTGAAGGGATTTCAATATAAAAATACTACAGTCCATAGGAGAAATATGCCACTTACTTCATTTACCTGTAACAGTGGCATATTGTATTCTAGTCAAGTTTATAAATAAATATATATCTTTACCTTAAACCTCGAACTAGAATCCTATATCGCATGCACAAATCAACAACTACTAGGATATAAAGGCAAACCAGGTAATAAAGCAAATATTACTCAAGATGAAAGATTGGCTCTTACATCATTACGTAATAACAAAGAAATAATAATAAAACCGGCCGATAAAGGTGGTGCCATTGTAATACTTAACAAAACCAACTACATATCTGAAGGCTTACGTCAATTAAATGATAAACAGTTTTAAGGAGAAGTACCGAAAGAATCTCACTCCTAAAATTGCCTTTAAAATCATCTCATTTCTCAACTACCTTAAGAAATACAGTTTACTAGGTAAGGAAGCTATTACATACATACAACCTAACAAGGGTGCCATAGTCACAAAATACGCCCGTTTACGAAAAAGCTTTAGATGGAGATGGGGGCATTATGGATAAGTGTTATCTAGCAAGCAAGTTTTATTCTTGGCACTGTGTTGTTAAATGAACCTTAAAACAAATCAATAGGGAAGATATGCACAGAATGTGTGACCTTGACCTTGGTCGCAGGGACCTGAATTTTATGCACAGCACTCAGCCTCACAATGATGAACATTTGTGCCAAATTATATTGAAATCCCTCTATGCATGTAGAAGTTTTGCTCCAGACAAGTGTTTTTCTATGAGCTCTAACTGTGACCTTCACCTTTGACCTAGAGACTTGGTTTATGTGCAGGGCACTACGTCTCATGGTGGTGAACAATTCTATAAAAGTAACATTAAAATTCCTCCATGCATGTAGAAAATATGCTCCGGACAACATCTGGATATTTAATCATCTCCAGTGACCTTGACCTTGCAAATATTAACCTAAATTAAATGTGTAACACCTGTAGTCATGATAGTTACCATTTGTGCTACAATCCATCAATAAATGATGACTAAATGGTCCCTATAACCATCTTCAAATTTTTATCTGAACTTTGACCTCTATGTGTAACCTTGACATTGGTCGCAGGGATCTGAATTTTGCATGCGACACTCAGCCTCACAATGGTGAACATTTGTGCCAAGTTATATTGAAAACCCCCTATGAATGTAGAAGTTTTGCTCCGGACAAGCGTTTTTCAATGAGCTCTAAGTGTGACCTTGACCTTTGACCTGGAGACCTGGATCATGCATGGAGCAATACATATCATGGTGGTGAACATTTCCATAAAGTATTATAAAAATTCTTCCATACATGTAGGAGATATGCACCAGACAAAATCTGGATATTTCACCATCTTTAGTGACCTTGACCTTGCATATATTGACCTAAAGTACATGTGTCACAGCCGTAGTCATTATAATGACCATTTGTGTTACAATCCCTTAATAAATGATGAGTAAATCGTCCCTATACACATCTTCATATTTTTATCTTTTTTTAAACGGGCGTATAAAAAGTACATGTAATTTAATAACTAAAAAATTCTGATTTAAGATTTTATTCTAGGGAAATACATTTCATAACAATTCTAAATCTTTGAATGAGCTGAACTGATATTTACTTGAAAATTAAAATATAATTAAATTTCTATGAGAAAGTATTTACATTTGATAAGGTAATTACTGTATGATCTTTATGAACAAATACCAAGTCTACAGAACACCATAGTTATCACAGTTAAGAATCTTGACCAATGAATGAAACATGTGTAAATAAATGTTACATTCTTTACAACATACTCAAGTCCAAGAAAGAGGATTATTTCATGCCCTTTGATTAAATTCTATTTTTAGAATTGAATGTGAAAATAGATCAAGGGGAGTAATTGTGTAAGTCATTTATGAACAAAGTAACAACTTTGTTGTCTCCCTTTGATTAAATTCTATTTACAAAATCTGGATATTTCATCATCTTTAGTGACCTTGACCTTGTATATATTGACCTAAATTATATGTATCACAGCCATAGTCTTGATAATGACCATTTGTGTTACAATCCCTCAATAAATGATGACTAAATGGTCCATATACACATCTTCATATTTTTATCTGAACTTTGACCTCTATGTGTGACCTTGACCTTGGCAGCAAGGACCTGAATCTTGCACGCGACACTCCGCCTCACAATGGTGAACATTTGTGCCAAGTAATATTGAAATCCCTCTATACATGTGGAAGTTTTGCTCCGGACAAGCATTTTTCAATGAGCTCTAAGTGTGACCTTGACCTTTGACCTAGAGACCTGGTTCATGTGCGCGACACTGCTCCTCATAGTGGTGAACATTTATATGAAGTTTCATTAAAATCCCTCCATACATGTAGGAGATATGCTCCGGACAAAATTGGACGCCGTTCGCTAGCCCGCCCGCCCGACCGCCCGCCAGGGGCGTTCCCATAATACGTCCCGTTTTCAAACGGGCGTATAAAAACTGTAGAACACCTATATTCTACATGCTACCTAAAATACACAAAGCTAACAATCCCGGTAGACCTATAGTATCTGCGTGCAAAGGTGCGACAGAAAAAACTTCAGGATTCATACATTAAGCCTTTAGCACAATCCGTCGACTCATATATAAAAGATACTTACGATTTTTTATGGAAACTACACAACCTAGGTCCCATACCAACAAACACAATATTAGTAACCATAGATGTTGCTGCACTTTATACGTCTATCCCACATAAAGACGGCATTATAGCATTAAAAGAAGCACTTAACAAACGCCACATACAAGAACCTAAAACTTGGATCATTTTATGACTCATGTTATTTGTGTTAAGAAAAATTTGTTTCAAATTCAACGAAAAATTTTACGAACAAATATCAGGCACTACCATGGGAACCAAAAGCGCACCCAGCTATGCAAGTCATCTTTATGGCATATTTTGAATCAAGATTTCTACTAACCCAAAAAGTCAAACCTTTGATATGGATATAGATGATATTTTTATGATTTGGCCTCACAGCAGACAGGAATTGTATTCCTTCATGGCCTCTTTAAACAGTTTCAGCCCGGCAATCAAATTTACACATGGTCAGCACATTTTCTAGATGTACACATAACAAAAGACGAGGTAGGAAGACTTTAACATACCAGCTTGTATACAAACCCCACAGATGCACACATGTATTTACATTATACTTCCTTCCATCCTGAACACCAAAAGAGAAGCATTCCGTACAGTCAAGCCGTAAGAATACGCCGTATATGTAGCAATGACCAATCTTATGATGAATGCACTAATTGTCTCTACGAAAACCTAAGATCTAGAGGTTACCCTTACAGTCTCACACGTGATGCAATAAATAAGGCTAAAAAACTCAATAGACTTGAACTTCTTTATAAACAACAAAAGAACACGGAATCAAAAAATGTCATCCCCTTCATAACAACATATAACCCTTATGTTATCTCTGCAAACAGAACTGTATAACGTGCAGATACGTCTCAGACGAAACACACATAACGAGTACAACTACAAAACAAACCTATAAGATTTATGGACACCATAACTGCAGAACAATAAGCGTGATATATTTAATAACCTGCAAAAAATGCGGACTACAATATGTAGGTCAAACAGGTAACTCCCTAAGAGAACGATTTTACGGACATATAGCGGACATTAAAGCAAACAATTATGTTAAGCCGGTTTCCCACCATTTCAATAGTGCAGGACATAACGTAAATAACATTGACGTCAGAATAATACAGCACACAGAACGTAATCAAAACATACGTTTATGACCTGAAGAAGCTTGGATTAAACGATTACAAACAAAAACGCCGTTTGGACTCAATTTAATATAATGGCAGCAGAATTTACGGCAAGAAAACTAGATGATTACACTAAACATGAACTCGATCATCTCAACTTTATTGAAGCTCGTCCAATTTATCACCTATGTGAAATATGTGGCCAGGCAACATACAATAGCTGGCAAAAACAAAGACACAAGAAAACACACAAGGATACCATTACTAAATACGAATGCTCATGGTGTAAAAAACTGTATGCCAGAAAAGACAATCTTTTTATAACACATTCCCGCAAAATACATGGATTTGAAGAACTCACATTTAATACAACTGAAATACAATGACAATACAAACTGGATACGATCAAACAACAGAATGGCAACACTAACATGAAAATTCTTCTAGAAAAACCCAAATTTAGAATCGTCCTTAACAAAACTGGAACACCAATCATTAAGAAAAAAAACTCAGGAACAACACATAGTAATAAGAACGAGAACATTACCGCTAAACAGAATCCAGAAACAATGGTCTTCAACATACCGAACCCTATATCACCAATACCGGCAAGCCCCAGCACAAGCACTGAAACCATCTGTCAGGATGAGTACCTTTGTTTTAACTCGGACAATGAACTTATAATCAATGTAAATAGAATATATGGACTTTTCACTAACAATCAAGAACTCTATAAGTAATACAGACCAGCATTTATATATATTTATTGGCATATTGCCAATATTGATTCTATTTTAAGTGACAATATATCTATATTTAGTAACATACGTCATATAAAGTAGCCGTTTTTTAACACCTTCATTTACCTGTAACAGTGGCATATTTTATTCTAGTCGAGTTTATAAAAAGAAAACATACTATATATTATGTAAAACTAGAACTGTGTCCAAAGGACACGGATGCCCCCTATGATATATAGTGAAAAAATCAACAAAGGGTCATAATTCTGTTAAATTTGGTTGCGGCAAAAATTCCTTCCTTTACTTCCATATACACATTAAGGTTGTTCATCCCTGCAAGTTTAAGCAAAATCTGCCATCCGGTTTAGGAGGAGT